AATGCCCTGCCCCCCATCTCCACCCTACCCAGGCTCAACCACACTGCTGCCGGCAGTGAAAAGAGTTTGTTTAATGTTCCTAAATATGATGCCCGTTGATTACCCACACTTTGAGCAAATCTGGGTGCATTTTATGGTTTCCCAATGCATTGTATGCATTTTGGCTTATTTCAGTAGAATAAAAGAGGAGCAAAGTTCTTCCCCCTTTGGGTTGGGAAAAGGGATGAAGTCATGGTGCAAGTGGCCTCTGGACCACATTAGGTGTGGATTCTGCCCCACAGTAGAGGTGGGATCTGGGACAGTGATGAGACGTGGATTCTGGGTCATGGTAGAGGTGGTTCTGGGTCAGGGTAGAAGTGGGTTCTGCAATGGAGGGAGGCGGATTCAGGGACCTGGTAGAGGTGGTTCTTAGGACGGGTAGCAGGTGGATTCTGGGGACAGGGACAAAGTGGATTCTGGGAAAGCAACAAGTGACTTGTGGAACAGGAACAGATGGGCCGTGGGCCCGCTGTCCCACTCCGTCCTCCCAGAACCTGCTTGTGCAAAGTTCCACTGGAGCACCTCCCGCGTCCCATGGTCGCTGTTAGCTTATTTTTCTCCCAGAGGCTTTAGCTCAAACATCACTTCCTCAGAGAGGCCTCCACGCCCTCATGAGGTCCCCAGGTCCCCGTTACACACTCTCCCCTCTCCCTTTCTTCCTCTTCTAGTGACTGTAGATGTGCACCTGTGGTTACTTGGGCATTGTTTGTTCCTGGTTGGACCGCGACTCCCCGCCCGCAGCGGTCCCATCCGACATGCTCCCTCAGAGCACGGGGCCAGGCACGAGAGGCTGCCCTATCATTATTATCAGGCAAATGAGTTTCCGGTGAGGCTAAGGACGCTGATTCGCGGTTTCATTCCCAGTGCCCAAAAGGCCTTCTGAGTGTATACTGAATCAATCGATAAAGCGGGACGAAGTGAGACGAAAGAGGAGAGGAAGTGAAAGAGAATAAAAGGAGGAAATGTAGGAGGGGGAGACTCAGAGAGCAGAGAGAGAAACAGAGGGAGAAAAGAAAGAACGAATGAATTAAGGCACGCCCAACTGAATGAATTACTGAATTCGGACTGGGCATATGGTGCATCTTGCTGCACAGGGTCACAGCAGCTCCAGCAATAGCCTCCTGAGCGGGTGGCGCGAGTCCGCCCTCCGCTGACCCCGCTCCAGACCCGCGAAGATCCCCACTGGGAATCGGGGTCCCTGCCAGCTAGCCACCCCCGCCCTCCTGCCTGCCCCGCCCACACCGCCCGGCTGCGCAAGGCATAGTGGGAGTTGTAGTCCTGGCGGCCCCGGGGAGCGCAGCGCGGCGTCGGCAACGGCGGGGCTCTACCTCGGCTCCAGCTCCGGCTCCTGCAGCGTGGGCCGGCAACGGCCGGGCGGTGGCTACGTGGCGCGGGCAAGGGGCGTCCGCGCGTCCGCGCCTTCGGGCGGCGGTGTCGCTCCGGCCCCAGGAGTCGACCCTGCCGCCCGCGCGCCGGGGCGCAGGTAAGCAGTGTCTCTAGGGGCTGCGAGGTGGGAGGGCGGCGCAGCCGGCTGACCCTGCTACGCCAGGAGGAGGCCCACGGCCCCCACGCCCCGCGGCACGGCCGCTGAGGATGCTTTAAGGCGTCGGTGCCCGCCTGCGCCCGCATCCTGGCCCGGCCAAGGGGCCCAGCCGCCCGGAGCTCCCTGCGTGCTGAGCGCCGCCGCCTCGCCAGTGTTCGCGGCCCCGGCCGGACATCACCCTCCTCCTACCCCCTGCCCCATCGCGGTCCCCTGCTTCCTGTTAATGCGACCTCCCACCCACCGGTCACCCTGCTTCGCGGTGACCCTCCTTAATCCTTTCCCTTGCTTGCAGTCTCCCTCCTCCCAGCGCGAGCGTTGCCCACTTCCCATATTTCCTGTAGTAACCCTCTTCTTCCTCTGCCCCTTGAGTTACCACCGTAATCCTCGTTCCCTGCTCTTTAGCTAGTCGTCTACTTTTCCTGTCAATAGTCACCTTCCTCTTTTCCCATCCCCTCCTCCCCTGGCCTCCTGGCGATCACCATCTGTATTAACCTATCCTCTGCCCTCCCCGTTCCCCCCACTCCGGAGCTAGTGGATGCTGAAAAAGCTGGCCACAAAAGTGAGGAAAGGTCTCCAGGTCCCCACGCGGGAGGGCTGGCCCCAGAGCAGCTCCTGGCCCCCGGGTGGAGAGGGAGGCATGGATTACAAGCCTTGCCCAGCACTACCTGGGGGATGACCTGGCCTCACCCTGAGAATGACCAGAAGCTCTTAAGCACCGGGCAGCCCCTTGGACTGGTAATGTGAACTGGATGAAACCAGGTTAGCGCCATTAGTCTGTCCCCCAAGTAGGTGTTCGTGGTATAACAAGTTATATTGGATTGGACTTGCTCACCATTGGCCATGAATTTGGACTTTATTCCCCAAGCCCACTGACCTTTAAGGTCTGGGGCTGCATGTTATTGAAGTGCAGAACTGCAGTGAGATGTCCCCATGCCTAATGACAGCAGTGAAACAGATGAAGATAGACAGATGCGTGAAGGAAGCTGGAGGTTACTCTGGTCCCTAAGACTGGGGCTGGGGGTGGGGGAATCCATGCCCTCCCCACTGGGGAGATGGGCGGTTGTCACCGGGTGCAGTAGGATCAAATGTTTGAAGCAGAGTTTAATAAGCTGCCAATACCACTGAAAACGTAAGGGCTGCTTTTAGTGTCGTATTTCAGCTGTGAGCCTGATAATCAGTCTCTGGACTCAGGGGCCTGCCTTTGCATTTTGACTAAAGTGACTGACGGGTCTGAAAAGTGCTAACTTCAGCCCTCAATGCCGTTTTTGATCTTTGAACAGGGTCTGAACCTGGAGCTCAGGGCATCAGGATCTCTTGCTGCCTTTTGTTTATAGGCTCAGTCTAGGGAGCACTGGTGGCTGTCATTGTACAGAATGACGCTTCCCCAGGGGGAGAGAGTATGGGGAGTAAGCTGCAGAGTGTTCTGAGGAGTGATTCCTTCACCTTCTATCCTGACCTCCGAGTCTTCATTTCGATGGACTGAAAACTCTAGAGTAGCAGGGCCGATGGGAACTAACACTTAACAGGTGTTTGTCAAATTATCACCATCTCACTCTTAGAGCATTTAAGGAAGCCTCGCTTCTTGAGAGAGGGAGTTTAATTCCAGTTCGGAGTTTAGCTCAGTGTTGGGGGGGATCCTTTCGGTACAAGCGCTTGTTAGTATGCAGTGGTTAGTTTCACACTGAAGTTCAGGAAGCCCAGGGCTCTCTCGGGGAGATGGCTTGCAAACAGTTCGCCTTTCGTCCAGGTTTTTCTTCCCTTTTCAAGAGGAAACAGCTGCCAGTTATGTATGGTGGGATGAAGAGAGAACCTGGGGCCCAGAGGAGTCTGTACCTATCCAGGGGCACCCAGCCCCTCCCTGTTCTCCCAAATCTGTGAAGAAATTGAGAACACGTGAGGAAAAAAAAATAGCATCGAACCTCCCCGCTCTTGTATTTTTTGTAAAAGCAGGAAAAACACACACGGATATTCGACACATGTGTTTTGGATTTACTGAACACCATAGCGGAGTGGTTCTGTATGAAGGTGCAGAGAGGCAGCTAACGATCACCTAAGGCTTCCCTTTCGGTTTTCGGCTTTGCAGGTTGGGGACTGAAAAACATCCCTTGAGATGTTCGGCAGCAAGAGTGTCCGAGTCTACCTTCAGCTGTTGGTGTTTTCAGTCCTAAGACATCTTTCCCTGATGCCCCCCCCCCCCGCCCCGCCTTTGGTTTGCTGGCTAATTGGGGTGGGATGTCACATGTCATAGCAGTCACTGGTGCATGCTGAGTGCTTACCATGACCATAAGTGCCCAACGTCCGTCATTCACCTTCAGTCAGTGAGATGAGCACCCCCCATCTTGAGACTCAGAGCGGGGAGCGACCTGGCCAGGGCTGGGATTAGTACTCGGTCCAGCCTGTCTCCAGCTTGAGTTCTTAATCTCTCTGCTACGGTGGCAGGGATGCATTAGACTTGTAGTAGAACGTAGTAGACCTGGCTGTTGTCACCAGATTAGAAAAAGCAGGACACACAGAGGGTTTCAGCTGGGGGACATGGCAGGGGTTTACAGACCTGGGCAGCCTGCTAGTGGGGCTCTGTGTACATGGTCCTTTTAGGTTAATCGGGGTGCTGGACAGTGTGGCCCCGACCATCAGTACAGTACGCGGGACAGCCCCTTGTGTCTGGTTTGGAGACAGTCAGAGACCTGGAAGGGCTTTTATTTCCATTCTGTCTCATCATGTCAGTTTCACAACCTCATGGGTGAGGCCAGTGTCTGCCATGGCTTCGACCACAGAGGGCCCACTTCCTTTTCCAGTCTGATTTAAGCCTGACCCACGTCAGGAGGGTGAGAGAGTAAGGATGGAGTGCTGTGAAAACGGACCGCTAAGTGGAGAACATGCAGTTTTAAAGTTCCTGCGCCACTTTGAAAGTGCTTTTGAATCCTTGTCTCTGAAGAGGCGCAGAGGTTGGAGGAGCATCAGTGTTTATTACATGCGTACTGTGGAAGAGGATAGCAAAATGGATAGGTGTCACTCTGAGGGCAGATGGGCTTCGTGTCCCTGACGTGGCTGCATGAACTTGGGGGTGTGAGGGGACTTCTCCGAGCCTCGGTTTCCTCATCTGTGAAGTGGGAACTGTAGCACCTCCTAGGGGTGAGAATATGGGTGGGATTACGGTAATTATCAGAGTGCTTGATGCGGATGAAACGCTCCTGGTTTGGGGAAATGGGGGTGGCGGTAAAATGCGGGGAGAATACACAAGGTTGAGAAGTGTGTCCCTGCCAACGAGGACCTTACAGAATGATCTGTGACTTTATGTTTCAGTTGAGGACTTTTCCAGATGTAAAAAGACTCATGCTGTTTGTTTGTTTCTTCATCCCAGGGTTGGACTTTTTGGAAAATCACTTCCCAGGGGCCAGCACCACGCGCTGATGTGACCTAAGGCAGCTCCTTCCACGGTCCCCACACTGACTTTTGCCTGGAGAGGAGCGGCGCGCACGGGCGGCCTCGCTCTTTGTGGATGCAGCCCTTGGCCGGACCCGAGGAACCGGGGCGGCCATGCCTCCCCCGACCCCCACTGCCCCACGCTAACCTGCACCGTGTGGGTGCCCTCAGGACCCCAGAGGACTGACTGTCTGACCTTGCTTCACACCTTCAACAGCAACTCCCCCAAGATGTCGCTCGAGTGGCTGGTGGCCTGGAGCTGGTCGCTGGACGGCCTGCGGGACTGCATTGCCACAGGCATCCAGTCCGTGAGGGACTGTGACACCACCGCCGTGGTCACTGTGGCCGGCCTGCTGGTCCTGTTCGTGTGGTACTGTTACCACGTGGGCCGGGAGCAGCCCCGGCCCTACGTCTCGGTCAACTCCCTCATGCAGGGCGTGGACGCCGACGGGCTGCAGAACGGGTACGTGTACTGCCAGTCCCCCGAGTGCGTGCGCTGCACCCACAACGAGGGCCTCAACCAGAAGCTCTACCACAACCTGCAGGAGTACGCCAAGCGCTACTCCTGGTCCGGCATGGGCCGCATCCACAAGGGCATCCGCGAGCAGGGCCGCTACCTCAACAGCCGGCCCTCCATCCAGAAGCCCGAGGTCTTCTTCCTGCCCGACCTGCCCACCGCGCCCTACTTCGCCCGGGACGCGCAGAAGCATGATGTGGAGCTGCTGGAGCGGAACTTCCAGACCGTCCTGTGCGAGTTCGAGGCCCTGTACAAAGCCTTCTCAAACTGCAGCCTGCCGCAGGGCTGGAAAGTGAACAGCACGCCCAGCGGGGAGTGGGTCACCTTTTACCTGGTCAATCAGGGGGTGTGCGTCCCCAGGAACTGCAGGAAGTGCCCACGGACGTACCGCTTGCTCGGGAGCCTGCGGACCTGTATCGGGAACAATGTGTTTGGGAACGCGTGCATCTCCGTGCTGAGCCCCGGGACCGTGATAACGGAGCACTACGGGCCCACCAACATCCGCATCCGATGCCACTTAGGTAGGTCGCGGGGCTGGGGTCTTCCGACACGTACCCTCCTGGGCAGACTTGGCCTGGCCGTCTGGAACCCCAGCGCCAGCTCAGTCCCCAGAGTGCGCTTCCTTCACATTCCTCACCACACTGCCATCTGCCATCACACATTGATGAGTCACCTGTGAACCGTGCTGACAGCAGGGACTGGGTCAGAAAAGACCCTGGCGATCAGTCAGAACCTAGTTTCTGGCAGAGGCTGTACTGGAAGGAGCTTCCCGCAGTGGGAGAAGCAGTCCCCGGGTGCACGGACATGGCAGCCGATCGCCCCCGGGGCTGTTGGGGGCTTGACAAGTGACTAATGCACCTGAGGGGCTCAGTTTTAACTTGCTCTAAATTAATATATATTTTTTATGTATTTATTTTTTGAGAGAGGGGAAAGGAAGGAGAAAGAGAGGGAGAGAAAATATCGAGGTATGGTTGCCTCTCATGCGTCCCCTGCTGGGAACTGGCCTGCAACCCAGGCATGTGTCCTGACTGGGAATCGAACCGCGATACTCTGGTTCGCAGGCCCGCGGTCAATCCACTGAGCTACGACAGCCAGGGCTTAACTTGCTCTAAATTAAAATCTCAGTGGCCACACAGGGCTGGTGCCTGCTGTGGGGGACAGGGAGCCACAGGGCCGAAGGCTGTCACGGTGATCCCCGAGGCTCATGGTGACGTCAGGAGGCCGAGTACCTTCTGAATGTGCAGAGAGAAGGCGGTGCTCGGTGACTTTACCCAGAGTCTGGGGGGGGTGGCGTGCCCTGTGTCACAGTGGTGTTGAGAGCAGGGTTGGTCGGACCGCGCGTGCCTGTGTCCTGGCCCTTCCACCGGCTGGCGGTGTGACCAGGGGCAGGTCGCTGCACCGCTCTGAGCCTGAGTCTCCTCGTTTGGAAAGTGGAGGAAAAGGTCGTTTTTCACAGAGCATGTGTATTGTAGAGGATTTGCTCACATGGAGCGTGACAGAGAGAGAGCACTTAATCGAAGTAGGCCTGAAAACAGCGTGGTAAATGGGGATATTAGCTCCCAGAATGTCGCCTGCATTCCTGGTGAGTCATGACAGTGGCTTGGTTACCAGGACGATGGCATCCCAGACTAGAGGAGGGCACCGGAGCGGAGGCTCGGCGAGGCCCTGGGAAGGCGGCGCTGCCTGGGCGTCAGGGTGGAGGGAGGGACCCCCCGATGACCCCCTGTGGGCCGGAGCAGGGGTCCCTAACTAGTTCTGCCGAGGAGTCTCAGGGCTGCCCGTGGGGGCCTGGGTTTGATCCTGCTTCGCCCAGAGCCCTCCGCTCCCCCTGTTCTCACTCTGGGGATCCTGAATAAAGTTTAGCTTCAACCTAGGACTTCACTGCTTTAAACAGCAAAAGGGACAAGATTCGAGCAGTTGACACCGTGAGTGTTTGAGCAGAAAGGCAGGACAGAGTGGAGGCTCTGGAGTAGGTGGCCTGGCTTCGGGTCAGTCAGGTCACTCTGAGCAAATAACTGAGTGTCTCTGTGCCTCAGTTTCCTCACCTGTATAATGGGAAGGTAGCAGTTATCTCCCAAGATCCTTAGAGGCTTAAATAAAGTACTCTCTTTGTGGCCACTTCGTGTTGCCCAGCACGTGGCAGCGTTCAATCAACAGTTGGTAGTAGCTTTGTGGCTCAGATGCCGTGTTGGACAGTGTAATAAAGAATCCACAAGGCCAGGCTCTGCCCTCGGGAGCAGGGGGAGTGAATAGACTGTGGAAGCAAACACACCTGGGTGCAAACCTGTTAGTCCCATGTACTGAGCGGCTTCAGGCACAGCCCTGAACCTCTCTGAGCAGCAGCCTGCTCCTCTCCCAGTGGAGGCAGTGACCCCTCCCTGGGCGGCTGGTTGGAGGGTTAGAAGTGCTGTCTGCGGAGCAGGTGGCAGGTGACAGCGGTCAGGTAACAGCGGCTCCGACTAACCCCGGAGGTGAGATGGTCACGTGATGGACGTGAGCAGTGAAGTCGCGGTGTGAGGCGGCAGGGCATGCTCTGAGGTCAGAGGACGAGAGGGCTGCAGGTGGGCAGCTTCAGGGAGGCAGTCTGACCTTAAAGGGTCCCCAGGACCCCTGGGGTGGAGCTGGGGGAGCCATGTCTAGGCCTCCCAAGGCGTCTAGTGATGGAGACCAAGCTCGGGGCAGCTGGGTGGGAGCAAACCAGCAAGGGTCCCCCCTCAGGCTTCCGTCTTAAGGCTGTGGACAATGGGGGGCAATGCTAGGGGGGGTTGTTTGTTTTTTAAATAAAGGGTTTCCTTTTCTGTTTTCTAAAAACTTCACCACGATGTAGGGAACAACATTTGAGGATGGATGTGGTAGAGCTCCGGGCAGGTGTGAGGAGTCGGAAGGGCTGCTGCAGGAACAGCAAACATTTGCCTCCTGTGCGTGAATGCCTTCTGCGCACCCATGCAGGTGACGTGTGAGTGAGTCACACCCACACGGGTCCTCTTTCTGGCCCGTCATTCCCTCTCGGCCAGCTAGGTGCTGGCCCCCAGGAACAGGGGGCCCCGTCGTGTCCCCGAACAACAGGACACCTGGGAACACGTCCCGCTGGAGTGTGGCTAGTCCCTGTGGCCAGGGCGCGCTCCCTTCTTTCCGTGCCCCACCCTGGAAGGAAAGAAAGGTGTGTTCGATTCAGGTGACGGTGAGTGCTGAGAGAGCGGGGTCCAGAGAACGAGGCGAGGAGCAGGGCAAGCCTGGTGCGTGACTGGAGGCCACACCTCTGCCAGCTTCCGGGCTGCAGGTGGAGGGGTGCCTGTGGTTCCAGACAGTGCTCGTGAGACACTGGCCCTTGTCCTCCTTTCTGCCTGCTGCTGTCTGAGTTGTGGCTGAAGGCCCTGTCCCTGCAGGCGCTGCTCATGGGGCACGCATTTGCTGAGCCCCGTTCTGAGCTACCTTTAGAGGTGGCGTCACTCGGTCTCAGTTCCCTGCAGAACCATAGGACAGTCCAGCCCACCCAGCATGGTGCAGGGGGCTGGGATGTGCCAACTGCACTGCCCCAGACCTCCAGGAAGTGGCCTCTGACGATCGCCGGGCCAGGGTCACAGGGGAGGCCAATACCCACCCAGTGGCCAGCCCCCCGGAAAGTGCAGGTTGGAATGTAGGAGGTGTGCAGCCAAGTCTCACTACATAAGCCCAGTTCGCCTCTCGTTTCCTTTTCACACGTGTGCTGTCGGATTTCTGGGCTGCAGAGCTACCTGGTACCAGTAGACCAGCTCGTGTTTGCCTTGCCCACCCTGAGTGCCAGCCGCCTGAAGTGGGGCTGCTGGTGGCCAGTCTTTTCTCCACCCATTCCCTGCCTCCTGCAGTGGCTGGGGGGACAGAGCAGCAAACCCTAAGCCAGAGAGGGCCTGGGCATAGGGGACAGGCCGGGGCCATGTGTGGGGACTGTCTCTGTCCCCAGGAGCCACCTGAATTCTCTGGGGGAGTAGCAGTGACTTTGGCCAACTAAACTGGTTTGCTGGCAGGTGGCAGGAATGGTGGGCCCCTGGGAGGCGGGAGCAGAAGGAGGGGAGGCAGGGAAAGGAGGCGCGGCGGGCAGGCCAGGCCATCTTTCTGTTGTACTGTGGTGTGGCAGCCAATCATGTCGTGTCACAGAGAAAGGGGGGCTTTTCTGACCCCCAGATAGACTGTCCCTGCAGAGAACAGCTGTCCCTGGAGTCCTCCCAGCAGCTGAACCCCCCAACCCCAGTTGCTGTTAACACTGGCAGGTGGTCGTGGTTTCGAAGCCAGAGTGAACAGTCCCAGCCAATTCAGGGAAATGTCCTGTTGGGGTTGAAACTAGTATTAACTGCAGGAAAATCAACAATCCTTTTACTACCCCTGCTGCTAACGGAGTAACTGGCATTTGTACCATGGTGTCCAGTGTCCTAAGGGCCTGTTCTTTGGACCCAGAGAGGTTTGGATTCAACTCCCAGCTCCTGCCAGGTCTAAAGAGCGACAGCCAGCAGGACCGTTACCTCCCTGTATCTCAGTCGCTCCACCTGCAAGCAGGTGATGTCTGTAAAGTGTTTATGCAACACAAGCCTGCCCACAGAGAGTCTTCAGTTATTGGGAGCAAGGATAGTGGGCACGTTGCACTTCTCAGACGCGAAGGCCGCGGCTCAGAGAGGTTCGGTGCTGGCCCAGAGCCCCACAGCAGCTGCGAGTCAGAGCCAGTGGTCTGGTCGCAGGGCCCCTGAGAGCTCTCACCGCATCCGCTGGCGCATCCGCTGGCTCCAGGGGTGCATCTGAACAGAGAGTACACTGTCGGAGAGAGTGCATTCGTGTCTGTCAGAGAGGCTGTTTCGTGTTTGTCACAAGGAACATCAGGTCACGGGTACGTCGACTGGCCCAAGGCCATGGCTGTCACAGTTAGCCACGAGGACGGAGGAGACCACCACAGTCCCAGCCCCTCTTCCAGGGCCCGCTTCGTCCCGGGTGAGTCCTTCCGGGCAGTCGTGAGGCTGCCCCAGCCTCTTCCCCAAGCATCAGTGATGGGGCCAGTGTTCCCTCAGACGATGGCTTGGAGACGGGTGCGTGGGGTGCACGCACGGCCACAGTTCAGCCAGACCCTCCCCAGGGTCAGGCACCCCAGCGCGCACTCCCCACGAGTGTTCTGAGCACGTGGCTCCTCACGAAGGTGCTGTTCTGCAACCTCTCAGAGCTCAGGCATTTTCCTCGGGGCGGCCTCCAATCTTCCTGAATGTGGCCAGGGAAACTCAGGCCAGGAACGTGCCATCCTCGGGCCTGAAAATGCAGTGAAGGGTTGGAACCCAAAGAGGAGGGCACTGTGTGAGCCTCTGCATCTCTCCTGTCGCCTGAAGCAGCTCCGGAGACGGGACTGCAGGTAACGCAATTACTGAGAGGCAGGGTTCTGAACCTCCATTTCCAGGGGTGTGCTGGGGGGCCTCCAGGAGTCCTAGAAGTGTAGGCTAGCCTTGGTTGCTGGAAGAGTCCATGACCCTGAAAGATGAAGCCAGCAATTTCCAACTGGTGAGCAGCAAGAATTTTTGAAACATGCAATACTTGGGAAGTTGGGGCACTGAGCACTTTTCCCTTAGATTCTCAAATTTAAAAAATGACAACAGTGAACACCCTCTCTAGCCACTGGTGAAAATGAATCAAAATTATACCTATTTTATTGTCAGATCGCCAAAAAACATTTTTGGTGTACCACAGAATATTAGTAATTGATTTGTGTGTTCCATGAGATGAAAAAGGTTGAAAATCGTGGGATTGAGCCAGTAGAGGAATGAGTTTTTCCCAGGAATATGGTAAGGATCCAGCTGCTTAGCCTGTAGTTGCACTACTGAACTACCTCTCACTCTAAATACTTTATACCTCACCCCTGACTTCCGGCCACGCCAGATCTTACCTGCCTTCACGCCGTCTTCTCTCCTCCTGTCCCCAAGGTCTGAAAACTCCAAGTGGCTGTGAGCTCGTCGTGGGGGGCGAGCCCCAGTGCTGGGCGGAAGGCCGCTGTCTTCTCTTCGACGACTCTTTCCTCCACACGGCGTTCCACGGAGGTGAGTGTCTGCCCTCCCTACGGCCGCTTCTTAAATGTGAACTTGATTTTAGGGGCAGTTCTAGGTTTATAGGAAAATTGAGCAGCAAGTCCACCCCACACCCCCTCCCCATACACAGTTTCCCCTTTTAGTAACATCTTGCTTTAGTTCATGTGTTAGCACGTTGATAGTACACGTGTTACCCTCAACGAGCTTAACACTGACAGGTCACTGTCACCTAGTCAGTTGTTTGTATGGGGGTTCACGCTGTGTGGCACACTCTGTGGGTTTTGGCAAATGCACGAGGACAGACGTGCACCGTGACGTGATCACACGGAATAGCTCTGCCACCCCAAATATCCTGTGCTCCCGCCAGGCACCCCCCTCCCTGGGCCTCGTCCCCTACGCATTCTGCCCAGAGCCCTAGGAAACCACGATCATGTTTCTGATCGGAGAGCAGGAGCTCTTCCGGTCTTGCCAAAAGCTCACCACGTGGGCGCGGGCTCTGGCCCCGGGCTGTTTGAACCTTTCCCCTCTCGCCCCTACCGCAGGTTCGGCAGAGGATGGCCCACGGGTGGTTTTCATGGTGGATCTGTGGCATCCAAACGTTGCTGCGGCCGAACGGCAGGCCCTAGACTTCATCTTTGCTCCAGGCCGGTGAGTCCAGCTCCTGTGCTGGGCGGCCCCGGGCGCACCTGCACAGATGGTGGAGCAGCCCAGCGCCTGCCGCGTCACAGTGCCACGCTCCGAACCTGCCTCAACAGAAAGCTCTTACTTGGGATTTTTCCACCACGTTGGGTCCCTCTTTCCTTTTGTTATCGTTAGTGGGAGATTTCCAGCCTGTATTTTCTTCGATTTTTTTTTCTTCTGTTCATTTGCTTCTGCGATTCCTTTCTGCCTACTGGCACATTACTTTGCTCTGTGGCCGGAGGCTTGGCACCCCTGTTGTCTGTGTCCCGTGGCTACGTGATGTATCATTCTTCTGAAATAGAGTAATCAAGCAGTTACTTGTCTGAATGTAACAACGTACAACTTCATGTGGTCACCTAAAAAAGGAAAAACGAACACAACACACTGCACACCGAGCACTGGAGAACTTGGCCTCTGCCACCGTCATGCCACGGGGACCTTCAGCCCCCCCCCCCAAGGGGCTTCTGCAGTCCCTGCACGTGGCCATCTTCGTGAGCAGGGTGGACCCGGTTAGGGGCGGTACCCAGGCTCACAGCCTGGGGAAACGTCACCCTCCACTCGCGCCACCCCAAACCCTGTCGGGTCTCCGATGGCAGAGAGCTGTCGGCAGCTGGGACTGGAGGCTTTTTGCAACGCCGCTCTCCTTCAGAGCTGAGGCTGGTGTCCTCGAGAGTCTGGCCGGGGCGCCCATGGGTCAGCTGCAGGACTCGTACTTCACTTACCTCACTGCCTACAGAAGCCCTACTGCCACTTGGGGCCGGGAGCACTCCCTGTGTTCACCATCTTGATGATGAACTTGGACACCACCACCAGGTTGGCCCACTGGAGCTGTGGTGGGGTAGAACCTCACTCGCCACCCAGTGACATTCTGGAAAGCCTTTCTCTGGCAAAACTGGAAACGTAGATGTGAACAAAGTGTCTGTTTTGTTTTGGAGTTTCATTGCCTATGATTTTCCATTTATTTGTCTGTACATAAACGTCCAAATGCTGGACTCAGAGACCGTGAGTCAGCCCTGTGTCCTTGTCACCGCACAAGGTATGTGCTAAGCAGTGGCCACCTAAGCAAATGTGTGAGTGAGGACACTGGGAAGACTTACAAACGCGAAGGACCCAGAGTCCCGGAGCCGGCCTCTGGTCTCCAGGGAAGGACACGGCCAGGTTGAGGCACTAAGTCGGGAAGCAGCTCCTGTTAGCTGCTGTGCGAAAGAGCAGCCTCCAGCCCTGCTGGAGACGCCGGGTTGAATGATGCATGGCGGAGGCGGCAGATCGATGCAGCCATCAGGGGGTGGAGCGTGCAAGCAGGTCACGTGTGCAGGGCCAGCGTCTCTCCGAACAGAAGCCGGCAGCTTCTGCGAGGAGTAGCTGTCGGAAGCAGACGCAGCCTGAGATGCACTGGGCAGTTCTAGCCAGTGTGCAAAGGACACGGGTCTGCAGTTGAGTAAAATTTCTGCAAGATGTGTCTTTTGGCTATTCGAATGCAGGAAAGGGCAGACATTTCAAAAACGCCTGAAGTCTTTTTAGTCATTAAGTATTTGTTCAAGAATCACTGAGGTGCATGATTCTGTACATACCGACTGCTCTACGTTTACAAAGCCAACAGCCCACGCAGGGGTTCACACGGTACCTGCGTTCATGTGACGAGGTTGGGGAACAGGAGGTAAATAAAGGATCTTGCCGAAACCCGGCGCGAGGCAGTGAAGTCGTCTGTGGGGAAGGAGGTGTGACGGGGGCAGAAGCCCTGATACTCTTGGGTTTGGATCATGTCACACAAAAGGCAGCACCTGAAGGTGACCCAGTGAGTGAAGCAGAGTGTTCTAAAGTACTGGGTGTGGGGTGGAAGAGACAGGAGCACAGCTACGGAACTTAGCTGATTTGCCAATGTCAGGCTGGCAGAGAACAGGGACTTTGGCTGAGGATTGAGGGCTCAGTGCCAGGCGCTCATTCCCCTGTGCTCTCTGGCAAGTCCCTCGGGAGCCTCAACTTGCTCCGCCGCATAAAGCCACGACGCTGGCTCCCTCCCGCTGTGGCCGTGATCTGGGCAGCTACAGAGAAGCAGAGGAGGGGGGAGGACGGGTAAGGGAGAGAGGGGTGCACGTCCCATTGGGGTAGCAGTGGCCGGGGAGCCAGTGGCTCCTTTCCGTGACCCGTGGCTGACTGCAGGCAGAGAAGCAAGTTCCTCAGTAGCTACATTTTGAATCTTTTCCCTTTGTCCTGGAAGAGGGACAGGTGACACTGGTGGCCTGGAACCCAAGGAGCAGTCTGGCTGCCAGGTGCTCTCCCATGCAAGCCCCTTTCCAGCCCACAGCCCAGAGCAAACCAGGGAAGAGCACCCCTCTCTGGGGACCGCGACGCTTCTCACTCGCCTGAAGTGTGCCTCGCCGAGGTGTCCATCGCTAAGGTAATGTACATGGTTTAGCTAGGGAGGCTCAGGGCCGCAAAGGGGGCCAGCAGGTCAGCTCAGCCGAAACCAGAAGCCCTGTCTCTGCCTGGGAACCGCCCGCCTCAGCTTCAGGACCAGCCACACAAGGTCACCTCCCGGCTCTCCCGGGCTCCTCGTCCCCCAGACCCACCTAGACTGTTGGGGTTCTGAGCCCTTTGGTGACAGTGACCACACTTGGAACACCAGGTGCCTTACAGCTTACAGTGGGGAGGGAAGACACTCCTAATCCACGAGTTCTGGACTTTGCACAGCATAGTCCACCTGGGGAGTTTTGGGAAATAACTGAGGCCCCAGCCCCACCCCCAAAGCACCTCATTTCTCAGTTCAGGGGGCAGGGTCCAGGTCCCAATATTTGTTTCAACCCCTTTCCCACCCTGACACCACTGTGTGGCTGGAACTGAGGGTCACTACCCCAAATAGCAAGAATAGCAAAGCCTTTGAAACCAGCCAGTTTGAGATTTACATCTGGGCTGTGCCCCCTGTGTGAGGATGGGCAGGCCACTTAACCCTGGTCTCCAGCGGTCAGTCAGTGTTTTTAACAGGCTTCTCCAACGGAACTCGATGAGCCTCCTGCAGAACCCCGACACCCTATTCTCAGTCCTTGGGTTTCCAGGACTAGATCCAGCCCCAGCTGCACGGCTTTGTTTATGACCCAGGCCTGACCAATCAGAGCCTTCTAAACACCTGGCCACTTAGGGATTGGATGAGGGCTGCTCTTAGTATCCAGAATTGACCAATCAGAGCCTTCCAAACTTCTGGCCACCGAGATTGGGCCAGGGCTGGGCACATGATCCAAATTATTTTGCTGGGACCATTGAGAAAGACAACTTTTCGCAGGGATCTAGTGTAAAGAAAATCAGTGAGTGAAACCCACAGAGAAAAATCAGGTCCTACCCTGTGGAGATCATCTGAGCCCTCACTAGCTTACCATGGACCCAGCTCCACCTCTGCACTTAGGTACATGAGCTAGTAAGCTCCGCTTTTATTCTTAAACCAAGTTCGAGGTGTGGTTCATTTTGGTTCCCTTGCCACCAAAAAGTCCTAATCCATTCTGTGAGCTTCATCTATAGAATGAGCCTAATGTCTACTTTCAGACTTAAAGAGGAGTTTGAATAATAGGTCAAATTCTGGCTGGATTGGATGTGCTCCAGACGTATTTTAAAAAATGTAAATCTGAGAAGCAAAGGCTAAGTACAAAGCGCTGTTTTTAAGGACTATCACGCCTGCTGCCGGCGCCTGCTCTGAAACATACACGTCCCCAGCTGGCTCCCGCTCACCAGATGTAAACACAAGGGACGGCACAGAATAAGGCCACATATTCCCGAGCTGCTGACAGATGGCCGGGAGAATGCTCAGGCAGATTGCAGCGTTGGGTGGCAGGAGGCGCACGCAGACTGGTCTACTTTCTGCCTCCTCCCCAGGCACACACGCTGCTGCCGATTTCTGATCACCACCCCCTCCCGCACGTCCCCACACTTCGGATGCCTTAGCCGCCCCGATTCCAGGGGAGGGAGTTTCCTCCCGGAGTCCGGACAGCACCGTGCACGCTAGGATTCCTTCACATCTGTCGTTACCCCATTGGTCCTCGCAGCCACACTGGGGCAAGTAGGGGCAGTCACACACAATTGCCACGAGAAAACAGGCTCAGAGCCGGCCGGCGATAGGAACGAGGCCATGAGGCCGGCTGGAGGACGGCCAGAATCAGAAGCAGGCACCCAGGCCGACGGCCCAGCAGTCTCAGGCTCTAGACCTGCACGCCGGCCTCACTCCCCAAGGCAGGCAGAGGGGCTCCCCACGCGGGGACACCCTGGGAAGCCGTCTGCCTTCTCATCACACTCACGCTGAACTCCCCACTTCCAGAGGGCCCACCACATGCCATGCCTTGAAATACACCACGTTATCCTCCCCATTTTAATGACGCTGACACGGGGTTTCAGAGAAATATGGGAACTTGGATCGGTTTCCACAACGGTAAGTCGCACAGCTGTGACTCGAGCCCAGGCTCCGACACCAGAGCCCACATGGCCCTGTTGCCACAGGAACCAGTGGGGTCGGGCTGGAGACGAAGGCGTCCACTCAGATTAAAGTGCCCTCTTACCAGCACACACAGGAGGTAGGTCAATCACTCACCCACTGCCCAGGAGGCCTTACTACATAGTCCCACGGTCCGGGCCTTGGGCCCTTCCCTGGGTCCAGCTGATGAGGAAGGCAGGGCAGGAGAGAGCAGCTGGCATTTGCCTGGACGCAGGCAAATGACCTCTTCTGCCCTGGCTGGTGTGCTTGGTGGTTCAGTGCTGGTCTGCGAACCAAAGGGTCACTGGTTTGATCCCCAGTCTAGGACACATGGCTGGGTTGCGAGCCAGGTCCCCAATAGGGGGCGCGCAAGAGGCACCCACATATTGATGTTTCTCTCTCCCTCTCTAAAAAATAAATAAATAAAATATTAAAAAGAAAAGAAATGGCCTCTTCTAGCCCTTGACAGGATTCAAAAGGCATTCTGGGTCTTATCCCCAGGAGAAATATCGCTGATTTCAAGTCGAGACATTTAAAACAAACGGAGAGGAAGTGTCCTTTTTAAACCGTGCAGCCTTCAGAACCCTCACCTTAAGCTTTCCCCATTCAATCAGTGGGCTAAGATCCCGGGTATCTTTGTTTTTCTTCCCTACCTGGATGGCAAGCGTTGATCTTATACTCTGCCCCCCCACCATCATCTCCTCACACAGGGACCCAGGGCCAGGGGGCAGGGGAGTCCCCTCTTCTGCTGTTCTTTTCCCAGGACAAGTCAACAGTCAAGAGTGGGGGCTGAATGTGTGGGGGGCTGGGTGTGTGTGGTTCTGGGTGTGTGTGTGGGGCTGGGTGTGTGTGTGTGGGACGGGGTGTAGGGGGGCTGGGTGTGGGGGGGGCTGGGTGTGTGTGTGGGACTGGGTGTGGGGGGGCTGGGGGTGTGTGTGGGGCTGGGTGTGGGGGGGCTGGGTGTGTGTGTGGGACTGGGTGTGGGGGGCTGGGTGTGTGTGTGGGGCTGCATGTGTGTGTGGGGCTGGGTGTGTGTGTGGGGGCTGGGTGTGTGTGTGCTACTGGGTGTGTGTGTGGGGAGCTGGGTGTGTGAGGGGGGCTGCGTTTGGGGGGGCTCGGTGTGTGTGGGGCCTTGGTGTGTGTGGGGCGCTGGACGTGTGTTTGGGAAGCTGGGTGTGTGTGTGGGGAGCTGGGTGTGTGTGGGGGAGCTGGGTGTGTGTGGGGGACTGGGTGTGGGGCCTAGGTGTGTGTGTGGGGCTCGGTGTGTGTGGGGGGAGCTGGGTGTGTGTAGGCTGGGTATGGGGTGGCTGGGTGTGTGTGTGGGACTGGGTGTGTGTGTGGGGCTAGGTGTGTGAGGGGGGCTGGGTGTGGGGGAGCTGGGTGTGTTTGTGGGACTGGATGTGGGGGCCTGGGTGTGTGTGTGGGACTGTGTGTGTGTGTGTGGGGGTGTGGGTGTGGTGGGACTGGGTGTGTGTGGGGGGCTGGGTGTGGGTGGCCTGGTGTGTGTGTGGGGCTGAGTGTGTATCTGGGGAGTAGGTATGTGTGTGGGGGGAGCTGGGTGTGAGAGGCTAGGTGTGTGTGGGGGGCTGGGTGTGTGTGTGAGGCGCGGCGTGTGTGTGGGCTGGGTATGGGGCGGCTGGGTGTGTGTGTGGGACTGGGTGTGTGTGTGGGACTGGGTGTGGGGGATTGGTTGTGTGTGGGTGGGGGCTGGGTGTGTGTGTTGGACTGGGTGTGGAGCCGGTGTGTGTGTGTGTGGGACTGGGTGTGTGTACTGGGCCTGGGTGTGTGTGAGGGACTCGGTGTGGCGGGGCTGGGTGTGTGTGTGGGACTGGGTGTGTGTGTGGGACTTGGTGTGGGGGAGCTGGGTGTTTTTGTGGGACTGGGTGTGTGGGGGGGGCTGGGTGTGTGTGGGGGGGAGCCAGGTGTGTGTGTGGCACTGGGTGTGGGGAGCTGGATGTGTGTCTGGGGCGGAGTGTGTGTCTGGGGAGATGGGTGTGTGTGTCGGGGGGGCTGGGTGTGAGAGGCTGGGTGTGTGTGGCAGGCTGGGCGTGTGTGTGGGGCTTGGTGTGGGGGAGCTGGGTGTGTTTGTGGGACTGGGTGTGGGAGGTTGGGTGTGTGTGTGGGACTGGGTGTGGGGGGGCTGGGTGTGTGTGTGGGGCTGGGTGTGGGGGGGCTGGGTGTGGGGGGGCTGGGTGTGTGTGTGGGACTGGATATTGGGGGCTGGGTGTGTGTGTGGAGCTGGGTGTGGGGGGCTGGGTGTGTTTGGGTGGCTGAGTGAGGGGAGGCTTGGTGTGGGAGGGCTGTGTATGGGGGGGCTGGGTGTGTGTGGGGGGCTGGGTGTGTGTGGGGGGACCCGGTTGTGTGTGTGGGACTGGGTGTGGGGAGCTGGATGTGTGTCTGGGGCTGAGTGTGTGTCTGGGGAGCTGGGTGTGTGTGTGTGGCGAGCTGGGTATGAGAGGCTGGGTGTGTGTGGGGGGCTGGGCGTGTGTGTGGGGAGCTGCGTGTGTGTGGGCTGGGTATGGGGGGGCTGGGTGTGTGTGTGGGACTGGGTGTCTGTGGGGGGCTTGGTGTGGGGGAGCTGGGTGTGTTTGTGGTACGGGGTTTGTGTGGGGGGCTGGGTGTGGGGGGGCCTGGTTGTGTTTGTGGGACTGGGTGTGGGGGGCTGATTGTGTGTGTGGGACTGTGTGTGTGCGGAGGGCTGGGTGTGCCGGGGCTGTGTGTGTGTGGGGGACTGGGTTTCTGTGCTGGGCCTGGGTGGGTGTGCTGGGCCTGGGTGTGTGTGAGGGACTCGGTGTGGGGGGCTGGTGTGTGTGTGGCGCTGGGTGTGGGGGTCTGGGTGTATGTGTGGAGCTCGGTGTGGGGGGCTGGGTGTGTTTGTGTGGCTGGGTGAGGGGAGGCTTGGTGTGGGGAGGGTGTGTGTGTTGGGGCTGGGTGTGTGTGGGAGAGTGGGTGTAGGGGGGCTGTGTGTGTGTGTGTGGGACTGGGTGTGTGGGGGGCACTGGGTGTAGGGGGGCTGGGTGTGTATGTGGGCTTGGGTGTGGGCGGGCTGGGTGCATGTGTGGGGCTGGGTGTGTGGGGGGGTGCTGGGTGTGTGTGGGGATGGTTGTGGGGGCGTTGGTGTGTGTGTGGGGCTGGGTGTAGGCGGGCCGGGTGTGTGTGGGTGGCTGGGTGCTTGGGGGGTGGCTGGGTTTGAGTGTGGGACTGGGTGTACGGGGCTGCGTGTGTGTGTGGGACTAGGCGTGGGGGAGCTGGGTGTGTGTGTGGGCCTGGGTGTGTGTGGTGGGCTGGGTGTGTGTGTGGGGCTGGGTATGGATGGGCTGGGTGTGTGTGTTGGGCTGGGTGTGTGTGTGGGAACCTGGGTGTGTGTTTGGGGAGCTGGGTGTGTGTGTGGGACTGGGTGTGTGGAGCTGGATGTGTGTCTGGGGCTGAGTGTGTGTCTGGGGAGCTGGGTGTTGGGCCTGGCTGTGTGGGGGGGGCTGGATGTGTGTGTGTGAAAGCGGCTGGGTGTGGGTGGGCTGGGTGTGTGTGTTTGGCTGGGTGAGTGTGTGGGGACCTGGGTGTGTGTGCTGGGCCTGGGTGTGTGTGGGGCTGGGTGTGTGTGAGGGACTGGGTGTGTGAGGCTGGGTGTGGGGGGGGGCTGGGTGTGTGTGGGGGACTGGGTGTGGGGGGCTGGGTGCATGGGGGGGCTGGGTGTGTGTGAGGGACTGGGTGTGTGGGGCTGAGTATGTGGGGGAGCTGGATGTGGGCGGCTGGGTGTCTGTGTGGGGCTGGATGTGGGGGGCTGGGTGTGGGGGCCTTGGTGTGTGTGTGGGACTGGGTGTGGGGAGCTGGATGTGTGTCTGGGGCTGAGTGTGTGTCTGGGGAGCTGGGTGTGTGTGTGTGGCGAGCTGGGTATGAGAGGCTGGGTGTGTGGGGGGGCTGGGCGTGTGTGTGGGGAGCTGCGTGTGTGTGGGCTGGGTATGGGGCGGCTGGGTGTGTGTGTGGGACTGGGTGTCTGTGGGGGGCTTGGTGTAAGGGAGCTGGGTGTGTTTGTGGTACGGGGTTTGTGTGGGGGGCTGGGTGTGGGGGGCTGGTTGTGTTTGTGGGACTGTGTGTGCGGGGCTGGGTATGCCGGGGCTGGGTGTGTGTGTGGGACTGGGTGTCTGTGGGGGGCTTGGTGTAAGGGAGCTGGGTGTGTTTGTGGTACGGGGTTTGTGTGGGGGGCTGGGTGTGGGGGGCTGGTTGTGTTTGTGGGACTGTGTCAGTGCGAAGGGCTGGGTATGCCGGGGCTGGGTGTGTGTGTGGGACTGGGTTTCTGTGCTGGGCCTGGGTGTGTGTGCTGGGCCTGGGTGTGTGTGAGGGACTCGGTGTGGGGGGCTGGTGTGTGTGTGGTGCTGGGTGTGTGTGTGGAGCTCGGTGTGGGGGGCTGGGTGTGTTTGTGTGGCTGGGTGAGGGGAGGCTTGGTGAGGGGAGGGTGTGTTTGTTGGGGCTGGGTGTGTGTGGGACAGTGGGTGTAGGGGGGCTGTGTGTGTGTGTGTGGGACTGGGTGTGTGGTGGGCACTGGGTGTAGGGGGGCTGGGTGTGTATGTGGACCTGGGTGTGGGTGGGCAGGGTGCATGTGTGGGGCTGGTGTGGGGGGGGGGTGCTGGGTGTGTGTGGGGATGGTTGTGGGGGCGTTGGTGTGTGTGTGGCTGGGTGGTTGGGGGGTGGCTGGGTGTGTGTGTGGGACTGGGTGTGGGGCAGCTGAGTGGCTGGGGGCTGAGTGTGTGTGGGAGTGGGTGTAGGGGGGCTGTGTGTGTGTGTGTGTGGGCCTGAGCATGTGTGGGGCACTGGGTGTAGGGGAGCTGGGTGTGTATGTGGGCCTGGGTGTGGGGGGGCTGGGTGCATGTATGGGGCTGGGTGTGGGGGGGGGTGCTGGTTGTGTGTGTGGTACTGGGTGTACGGGGCTGCGTGTGTGTGTGGGACTAGGCGTGGGGGAGCTGGGTGTGTGTGTGGGCCTCGGTGTGTGGGGGGGGCTGGGTGTGAGTGTGTGACTGGGTGTAGGGGGCTGCGTGTGTGTGTGGGACTAGGCGTGGGGGAGCTGGGTGTGTGTGTGGGCCTGGGTGTGTGTGGGGGGCTGGGTGTGTGTGGGGGGCTGGGTATGGGTGGGCTGGGTGTGTGTGTTGGGCTGGGTGTGTGTGTGGGGACCTGGGTGTGTGTTTGGGGAGCTGGGTGTATGTGTGGGACTGGGTGTGTGGAGCTGGATGTGTGTCTGGGGCTGAGTGTGTGTCTGGGGAGCTGGGTGTTGAGCCTGGCTGTGTGTGGGGGGCTGTGTGTGTGTGTGTGAAGGCGGCTGGGTGTGGGTGGGCTGGGTGTGTGTCTTTGGCTGGTTGAGTGTGTGGGGAACTGGGTGTGTGTGCTCAGCCTGGGTGTCTGTGGGGCTGGGTGTGTGTGGGGGATTGGGTGTGGGGGCCTCGGTGCATGGGGGGGCTGGGTGTGTGTGGGGCTGGATGTGGGGGGCTGGGTGTGGTGGGCTGGGTGTGTGTGTGGAGCTGTGTGTGGGGGGCTGGGTGTGTTTGGGTGGCTGGGTGAGAGGAGGCTTGGTGTGGGAGAGCTGTATATGGGGGAGCTGGATGTGTGTCTGGGGCTGAGTGTGTGTCTGGGGACATGGGTGTGTGTGTGTGGCGAGCTGGGTATGAGAGGCTGGGTGTGTGTGTGGGGCTGGGCGTGTGTGTGAGGCGCTGCGTGTGTGTGGGCTGGGTATGGGGCGGCTGGGTGTGTGTGTGGGACTGGGTGTGTGTGGGGTGCTGGGTGTGGGGGGGGGAGCTGGGTGTGTGGCCGGGGGAACTGGGTGTGTGTGTGGGACTGGGTGTGGGGAGCTGGATGTGTGTCTGGGGATGAGTGTGTGTCTGGGGAGATGGGTGTGTGTGTGGGGGGGGCTGGGTGTGAGAGGTTGGGTGTGTGTGGCGGGCTGGGCGTGTGTGTGGGACTGGGTGTGTGTGTGGGACTGGGTGTGTGTGTGGGGCTGGTTGTGGGGCGGCTGGGTGTGTGTGTGGGACTGGGTGTCTGTGGGGGGCTTGGTGTGGGGGAGCTGGGTGTGTTTGTGGTACTGGGTGTGTGTGGGGGCGGCTGGGTGTGTGTGTGGGGCTGGGTGTGCGTGGCGGGGGCTGGTGTGGGGGGCTGAGTAGTGGGGCGGGTGTTGAGGCTCTGGGGGCTGCGGGGCTGGGTGTGTGTGTGGGACTGGGTGTGTGTGGGGGGCTTAGTGTGGGGGAGCTGGGTGTGTGTGTGGGACTGGGTGGGGGGGCTGGGTGTTTGTGTGTGGCTAGGTGTGGGGGGTTGGTTGTGTGTGGGGGCGGGCTGGGTGTGTTTGTGGGGCGGGGCTGGGTGTGTGTGTTGGACTCGGTGTGGAGCCGGTGGGTGTGTGTGTAGGACTGGGTGTGTGTGCTGGGCCTCGCTGTGTGTGCTGGGGTTGGGTGTGTGTGAGAGACTCGGTGTCGCGGGGCTGGGCGTGTGTGTGGTACTGGGTGTGTGTGCGGGGCTGGGTGTGTGTGGGGGGGAGCCGGGTGTGTGTGTGGGACTGGGTGTGGGGAGCTGGATGTGTGTCTGGGGTGGAGTGTGTGTCTGGGGAGATGGGTGTGTGTGGGTGTGAGAGGCTGGGTGTGTGTGGCGGGCTGGGTGTACGGAAGGTGAGTGTGTTTGTGGGTCTGTGTGTGGGAGGTTGGGTGTCTGTGTGGGACTGGTGTGTGTATGGGGCTGGGTGTGGGAGGGCTGGGTGTGTGTGTGGGACTGGGTGTGGCGGGGCTGGGTGTGTGTGGGGGCTGGGTGGGGGGGCTAGCTGTGTGGGGGGGGCTGGGCGTGTGTGTGGCACTGGGTGTGGGGGGCTGGCTGTGTGTGGGGCACTGGATGTGCCTTTGGGGAGCTGGGTGTGTGTGGAGGGAGATGGGTGTGTGTTTGGGGAGCTGGGTGTGTGTGTGGGAGCTGGGTGTGTGTGTGGGACTGGATGTGGGGCCTGGGTATGTGTGTTGGGCTGGGTATGTGTGTTGGCTGGGTGTGGTGTGGCTGGGTGTGTGGGGGGCTGGTGGGTGTGTGGGGCTAGGTGTGTGAGGTGGGCTGGGTGTGTTGGAGCTGGGTGTGTTTGTGGGACTGGGTGTGGGGGCCTGGGTGTGTGTGTGGGACTGGGTGTGTGTGTGGGGCTGGGTGTGTCTGCGGGGCTGGGTGTATTTGTGGTACTGGGTGTGGGGGGCTGTGTGTGTTTGTGGGGCTGAGTGTGTGTGTGGGGCTGGGCGTGTGTGGGGGGTTTGGTGTGTGTGGGGGGCTAGGTGTGTGAGGGAGGCTGGGTGTGGGGGAGGTGGGTGTGTTTGTGGGACTGGATGTGGGAGCCTGGGTGTGTGTGTGGGACTGTGTGTGTGTGTGGGGGGGTTAGGTGTGGTGGGGCTGGGTGTGTGTGTGGGAATGTGTGTGTGTGTGGGGTTGGGTTTGGTGGGGCTAGGTGTGTGTGGGGGGCTGGGAGTGGGTGGCCTGGTGTGTGGGGGGGGCTGAGTGTGTATCTGGGGAGCTGGGTGTGTGTGTGTGGGAAGCTGGGTGTGAGAGGCTAGGTGTGGGGGGGGGGCTGGGTGTGTTTGTAAGGAGCTGCGTGTGTGTGGGCTGGGTATGGGGCGGCTGGGTGTGTGTGTGGGACTGGGTGTGTGTGTGGGACTGGGTGTGGGGGGGCTGGGTGTGTGTGTGGGACTGTGTGTCTGTGTGGGTTTGGGTTTGGTGGGGCTGGGTGTGTGTGGGGGGCTGGGTGTGGGTGGGGGACTGGGTGTGTGTGTGGTGGGGCTTGGTGTGGGGGGGCCGGGTGTGTGTGTGGGACTGGGTGTGTGTTGGGGGAGCTGGGTGTGTGTGTGGGACTGGGTGTGTGGAGCTGGATGTGTGTCTGGGGCTGAGTGTGTGTCTGGGGAGCTGGGTGTTGGGCCTGGCGGTGTGGGGGGGGCTGGATGTGTGTGTGGGGGGCGTGTGTGTGTGTGAAGGCGGCTGGGTGTGTGGGTGGACTGGGTGAGTGTGTGGGGACTGGGTGATTGTGTGGGGACTGGGTGTGTGTGCTGGGCCTGGGTGTGTGTGGGGCTGGGTATGTGTGAGGGACTGGGTGTGTGAGGCTGGGTGTGTGTGGGGAGCTGGGTGTGTGTGGGGGACTGGGTGTGTGTGGCGGACTGGGTGTGGGGGGCTGGGAGTGGGGGCTGGGTGTGTGTGTGGGACAGGGTGTGGGGGGTTGGGTGTTTGTGTGGGGCTGGGTGTGTGGTATCTGGGTGAGTGTGTGGGGCTGGGTGTGTGGGGGCTGAGTGTGTAGGGGGGCTGGGTGTGGGCTGCTGGGTGTGTGTGTGGGGCTGGATGTGGGGGGCTGGATTTGTGTGTGGGGCTGGGTGTGTGGGGGGGGCTGGGTGTGGGTGGCCTGGTGTGTGTGTGGGGCTGAGTGTGTATCTGGGGAGCTGGGTGTGTGTGTGTGTAGAGAGCTGGGTGTGAGAGGCTGGGTGTGTGTGGGGGGCTGGGTGTGTGTGTGAGGCGCTGCTTGTGTGTGGGCTGGGTATGGGGTGGCTGGGTGTGTGTATGGGACTGGGTGTGTGTGGGGGGCTTGGTGTGGGGGAGCTGGGTGTGTTTGTGAAACTGGGTGTGGGGCCTGTGTGTGTGTGTGGAGCTGGGTGTGTGTGTGGGGAGCTGGGTGTGTGTGTGGGACTGGGTGTGGTGGGGCTGGGTGTGTGTGTGGGGCTGGGTGTGTGTGTGCGGGTGGGTGTGGGGGCTGGTTGTGTGTCTGGGGCTGAGTGTGTGTCAGGGAGATGGGTGTGTGTGGGGTTCTGGGCGTGTGTGTGGGACTGGGTGTGGGGGGGCTGGCTGTGTGTGGGGGGCTGGGTGTGGGGGACCTGGATGTGTGTGGGGGGCTGGGTGTGTGTGTGGGGCTGGGTGTGTGTGTGGGACTGGGTGTGGGGGGGCTGGGTGTGTGTGTAGGTCTGGGTGTGTGTGGGGAACTGGGTGTGGGGGGCCTGGGTGTGTGTGTGGGACTGGGTGTGGGGGGCTGGGTGTGTGTGTGTGGACTGGGTGGGGGGTTGGGTGTGTGTGGGGCCTGGTGTGTGTGTGGGGAGCTGGGTGTGTGTGTGGGAGCTGGGTGTGGGGCCTGGGTGTGTGTGGGGCCTGGTGTGTGTGAGGGGGGCTGAGTGTATGTAGGCTGGGTATGGGGTGGCGGGGTGTGTGTGTGGGACTGGGTGTGTGTGGGGGGCAAGGTGTGTGAGGGGGGCTCGGTGTGGGGGAGCTGGGTGTGTTTGTGGGACTGGATGTGGGGGCCTGGGTGTGTGTGTGGGACTGGGTGTGTGTGTGGGGTTGGGTGTGGTGGGGCTGGGTGTGTGTGTGGGACTATGTGTGTGTGTGTGGGGCTGGGTGTGTGTGGGGAGCTGGATGTGTGTCTGGGGCTGAGTGTGTGTCTGGGGAGCTGGGTGTGGGACCTGGCTGTTTGTGGGGGGCTGGATGTGTGTGGGCTGGGTATGCGGGGGCTGGCTGTGTGTGGGGGACTGGGTGTGGGGTAGCTGGGTGTGTTTGTGGGACTAGGTGTGGGAGGTTGGGTGTCTGTGTGGGACTGGGTGTGTGTGGGGGGCTGGTTGTGGGGTGGCTGGGTGTGTGTGTGGGAATGGGTGTGGGGGGGCTGGGTGTGTGTGGAGGGGCTGGGTGTGTGGGGGGCTGGATGTGTGTGTGGGAAACTGGGTGTGTGTGGGGAGCTGGGTGTGTGTGGGTGTGGGGCTGGGTGTGTGTGTGGGGCTGGGTGTGTGTAGGCTGGGTATGGGGTGGCTGGGTGTGTGTGTGGGGCTAGGTGTGTGAGGGAGGCTGGGTGTGGGGGGAGCTGGGTGTGTTTGTGGGACTGGATGTGGGGGCATGGGTGTGTGTGTTGGACTGTGTGTGTGTGTGGGACTGTGTGTGTGGGGGTTGGGTTTGGTGGGGCTGAGTGTGTGGGGGGGCTGGGTGTGGGTGGCCTGGCTTGTGTGGGGGGCTGGGTGTGTATCTGGGGGAGCTGGGTGTGTGTGTGTGTAGGGAGCTGGGTGTGAGAGGCTGGGTGTGTGGGGGGCTGGGTGTGTGTGTGAGGCGCTGCGTGTGTGTGGGCTGGGTATGGGGTGGCTGGGTGTGTGTATGGGACTGGGTGTGTGTGGGGGGCTTGGTGTGGGGGAACTGGGTGTGTGTGTGGGGCTGGGTGTGGGGCCTGGGTGTGTGTGGGAGCTGGCTGTGTGTGTGGGGGGAGCTGGGTGTGTGTGTGGGACTGGGTGTGGGGGGGCTGGGTGTGTGTGTGGGGCTGGGTGTTGTGTGCGGCTAGGTGTGGGGTTGGTTGTGTGGGCGGGCTGGGTGTGTGTGTGGGGCGGGGCTGGGTGTGTGTGTGGGACTCGGTGGGGCGTGGGTGTGTGTGTGGGACTGGGTGTGTGTGCTGGGCCTCGCTGTGTGTGCTGGGGTTGGGTGTGTGAGGGACTCGGTGTCGCGGGGCTGGGCGTGTGTGTGGGACTGGGTGTGTGTGTGGGGCTGGGTGTGTGTGGGGGGGAGCCGGGTGTGTGTGGGACTGGGTGTGGGGAGCTGGATGTGTGTCTGGGGCGGAGTGTGTGTCGGGGGAGATGGGTGTGTGTGGGTGTGAGAGGCTGGGTGTGTGTGGCGGGCTGGGTGTGGGGAAGGTGGGTGTGTTTGTGGGTCTGTGTGTGGGAGGTTGGGTGTCTGTGTGGGACTGGTGTGTGTATGGGGCTGGGTGTGGGGGGCTGGGTGTGTGTGTGGGACTGGGTGTGGCGGGGCTGGGTGTGTGTGGGGGCTGGGTGTGGGGGGCTGGCTGTGTGTGGGGGGCTGGGCGTGTGTGTGGCACTGGGTGTGGGGGGCTGGGTGTGTGTGGGGGGGCTGGGTGTGTTTGTGGGGGGACGGGGGGCTGGGTGTGTGTGTGGGACTGGTTGTGAGGGGGCTGAGTGGCTGGGGGCTGAGTGTGTGTGGGGGGCTGGGTGTGTGTGTTGGGCTGGGTGTGTGTGTGGGGACCTGGGTGTGTGTTTGGGGAGCTGGGTGTGTGTGTGGGACTGGGTGTGTGGAGCTGGATGTGTGTCTGGGGCTGAGTGTGTGTCTGGGGAGCTGCGTGTGGGGCCTGGCTGTGTGGGGGGGGCTGGATGTGTGTGTGTGGGACTGGGTGTGTGTGTGGGGCTAGGTGTGTGAGGGAGGCTAGGTGTGGGGGGAGCTGGGTGTGTTTGTGGGACTGGATGTGGGGGGCCTGGGTGTGTGTGTGGGACTGTGTGTGTGTGGGGGGGTTGGGTATGGGGGGGCTGGGTGTGTGTGGGTGTGTGGGGGGGTTGGGTTTGGTGGGGCTGGGTGTGTGTGTGAGGGCGGCTGGGTGTGGGTGGGCTGGGTGTGTGTGTTTGGCTGGGTGAGTGTGTGGGGACCTGGGTGTGCGTGCTGGGCCTGGGTGTGTGTGGGGCTGGGTGTGTGTGAGGGACTGGGTGTGTGAGGCTGGGTGTGTGTGGGGAGCTGGGTGTGTGTGGGAAACTGGGTGTGTGTGGGAAACTGGGTGTGGGGGCCTCGGTGCATGGGGGGCTGGGTGTGTGTGGGGGACTGGGTGTGTGGGGCTGAGTATGTGGGGAGCTGGATGTGGGCGGCTGGGTGTCTGTGTGGGGCTGGATGTGTGGGGCTGGTGTGTGTGTGGGGCTAGGTGTGTGAGGAGGGCTGGGTGTGGGGGAGCTGGGTGTGTTTGTGGGACTGGGTGTGGGGGCCTGTGTGTGTGTGTTGGGACTGGGTGTGTGTGTGGGGCTGGGTGTGTTTGTGGGACTGGGTGTGGGGGGCTGGGTGTTTGTGTGGGGCTTCGTGTGTGTGTGGTGCTGGGTGTGTGTGTGGGGAGCTGGGTGTGTGTGGGGGGCTAGGTTTGGGGGGTCGGTGTGTGTGGGGGGCTTGGTGTGTGTGGGGCGCTGGATGTGTGTTTGGGAAACTAGGTGTGTGTGGGGAGCTGGGTGTGTGTGTGGGAGTTGGGTGTTTGTGTGGGACTGGGTGTGGGGCCTGGGTGTGTGTGTGGGGCTGGGTGTGTGTGTGGGGAGCTGGGTGTGTGGGGCTGGATGGGGGGGGCTGGGTGTGTGTGTGGAGCTGTGTGTGGAGGGCTGGGTGTGTTTCGGTGGCTGGGTGAGCGGAGGCGTGGTGTTGGAGGGCTGTGTATGGGGGGGCTGGGTGTGTTTCTGGGGCTGGGTGTGGGGGGGAGCTGGGTGTGTGTGTGGGACTGGGTGTGGGGAGCTGGATGTGTGTCTGGGGCTGAGTGTGTGTCTAGGGAGATGGGTGTGTGTGGGGGGCTGGGCGTGTGTGTGGGACTGGGTGTGTGGGGGCTGGCTGTGTGTGGGGGGCTGGGTGTGGGGGACCTGGATGTGTGTGTGGGGCTGAGTGTGTGTGTGGGGCTGGGTGTGTGTGTGGGACTGGGTTTGGGGGGGCTGGGTGTGTGTGTAGGTCTGGGTGTGTGTGGGGGACTGGGTGTGGGGGGCCTGGGTGTGTGTGTGGGACTGGGTGGGGGGGGCTGGGTGTGTGTGTGTAGGACTGGGTGGGGGGGGCTGGGTGTGTGTGTGGGGCTGTGTGTGTGTTTGGGGCTCGGTGTGCGGTGTCTGGGTGAGTGTGTGGGGCTGGATGTGTGTGTGGGACTGGGTGTGTGGGTGTGGGACAGGGTATAGGGGGGGCTGGGTGTGTGTGTGGGATTAAGTGTGGGGGGCTGGGTGTGTGTGTGTGGCTGTGTGTGTATGTGGTGCTGGGTGTGTGTGTGGGACTGGGTGTGGGGGGGCTGGGTGTGTGTGTGGGGCTGGGTGTGGGAGGCGTGGGTGTGTGTGGGGGGCCTGGGTGTGTGTGGGGCTGAGTGTGTGTGTGAGTCTGGGTGTGTGTGTGGGACTGGGTGTAGGGGGACTGGGTGTGTGTGTGGGGCTGAGTGTGTGTGTGAGTCTGGGTGTGTGTGTGGGACTGGGTGTAGGGGGACTGGGTGTAGGGGGACTGGGTGTAGGGGGGCTGGGTGTGTGTGTGTGACAGGGCATGTGGGGGCTGGGTGTGTGTGTGGGGCTGGGTGTGTGAGGGAGGCTAGGTGTGAGGGAGCTGGGTGTGTTTGGGGGACTGGATGTGGGGGCCTGGGTGTGTGTGTGGGACTGTGTGTGTGGGGGGGTTGGGTGTGGGGGGGGCTGGGTGAGTGTGTGGGACTGTGTGTGTGGGGGGTTGGGTTTGGTGGGGCTGGGTGTGTGTGTGAGGGCGGCTGGATGTGGGTGGGCTGGGTGTGTGTGTTTGGCTGGGTGAGTGTGTGGGGACCTGGGTGTGCGTGCTGGGCCTGGGTGTGTGTGGGGCTGGGTATGTGTGAGGGACTGGGTGTGTGAGGCTGGGTGTGTGTGGGGAGCTGGGTGTGTGTGGGGAGCTGGGTGTGTGTGGGAAACTGGGTGTGGGGGCCTCGGTGCATGGGGGGCTGGGTGTGTGTGGGGGACTGGGTGTGTGGGGCTGAGTATGTGGGGAGCTGGATGTGGGCGGCTGGGTGTCTGTGTGGGGCTGGATGTGTGGGGCTGGTGTGTGTGTGGGGCTAGGTGTGTGAGGGGGGCTGGGTGTGGGGGAGCTGGGTGTGTTTGTGAAACTGGGTGTGGGGGCCTGGGTGTGTGTGTGGGGCTGGGTGTGTGTGTGGGGCTTGGTGTGTGTGGGGCACTGGATGTGTGTTTGGGAAACTAGGTATGTGTGTGGGGAGCTGGGTGTGTGTGTGGGAGCTGGGTGTGTGTGTGGGAGCTGGGTGTGTGTGTGGGGCTGGGTGTGTGTTTGGGGAGCTGGGTGTGTGTAGGCTGGGTATGGGGTGGCTGGGTGTGTGTGTGGGGCTGGGTGTGTGTAGGCTGGGTATGGGGTGGCTGGGTGTGTGTGTGGGGCTAGGTGTGTGAGGGAGGCTGGGTGTGGGGGAGCTGGGTGTGTTTGTGGGACTGGATGTGGGGGCATGGGTGTGTG